TTGTAAATTTCACTTTTTATAGTAATGTTCAATAACTTCCTGGTTCTAAGAATCCCAGCGAAGACTAATCTATTTATTTCGGTGTCAGTTGTATCACGTTACATCAAATGATACAATTCTCGTGTCGAAAACAGCGATGAAAAAATAAAATTGTAAAGAAGCCNGGATGGGGAATTTAATTCTCCATCGAACAGCATTGGTTTCATTCCTTAATGTTAATTAGGAGGGGAGAGACCATTTTTTACTTAGCGGGCCNGCCAAGTCAGCAGGCCGAAAAAGTCGATGGTGGGGATGTTTATCTCATTTTATTTTTGAAAATATCGCAATTGGACAAAAATTTTGCAAAATATTGATAATTGGAGGAGTAATGATTTTTTTTGAAGATTTAGAGTTTTTTTCGAAAATTTTCATTTGTTCCAAATAGGCTCCAATATTTCAGCGCTGTTTTAAGCTGTTAAATCGCCCTTTGGGACGCTCAAAGCACCTGAAAAACCGTTATACATTGAATTATCGTCAGTCTGACGGAGTCTATCCGAGAATTATTATTTTTTTCTATCGTTAACTACTCAAAAACTTCATTTTCTTAAAATCGGAAATTTTCAACAAAAATTGTCGATAAAAAGAGAGGAACTTTGGCGCCAATTAGAGTTTCTCTTTCGCCATGGGTCGACGGTCATTAATTTTTTCAATGACACAAGTATTGACAATGATCAAAAATAGCTGTTATTTATCCAATTATCCCGCAAATGACTGCATATTCCATTGACCTCTCGATTACCAACAAATGAAAGCTATATGACAAATGTATTTCCATTGTAAAATAAGAGAAGTAATGTTTTTTTTACTCAAATAATGATACTGAAAATGAATAACAGAAGTTATTATGAGTCTAACTTCCACCATTTGTTAATATTTAATTGAATATTCACTTATTTGGGGGATGATTGTACGACCAATAGCAATTTTCATTCATTTTCAAAAGTTGTCTCACTGAAAAAATTAATGATCGCCGAACTAATACGACGNTTCTCCATCGAACAGCATTGGTTTCATTCCTTAATGTTAATTAGGAGGGGAGAGACCATTTTTTACTTAGCGGGCCAATTAATGGGGAGTCACTCTGCGCCGAGAAAACATTGGGTTGTTCATAGCGCCGCGACTTTCGTCGCAGTTTTTATTTTTTCATTACCGAGATTAAGAAATGAAACGGGGANATTTGAACCAAGTGTCTAGCAGTTAGACATTTCTCCTGATTTTTAGTAGCAATCATAGAAAAATGAGTCTTTAACTCCAACCATTGATCAAGAATACGTCTCACTGCTCCATTATATGCTNAATGGAGTAAAATAAACGATTTAACACCTCAAAAAATTATGCCAATCAATTCTACAAAAAGTAAATGTCTCCGTCGGTAAATTTATATAAAATTCATCAACTTGTAAATCGATGAAAAAATAGTAGGTATCATCGTAATAAATATTTAAAAAAAAAATGAACTTGGGCCTGTCATTCCGGAGTATTTGCAAAAAAAAACAATTTTTAGGAACACGCTGGNACGGGGGTTGATGGATGAGGAATTTAATTGTCCATCGAAAAGTGATGGTTCATCNGTCGCATAGTTGTATTAGAGCCAACATTTTCTTGTTATTGTCATTGATAAGATTGAATAATGCCCGGTATTCTTCCATTCGTTTTGCACTCAGACAAAACCAATTTCGTGACTCTCGTATCAAATACTTCAAATGAGCAGGGAGAACGTCAGCAGTTTTCGAAGCACACAGATTTAAAGAGTGACATATGCAGCGAATGAGGATCGNCCGAGAAAACATTGGGTTTCTTATAGTGCCGTGACTTTCGTCGCAATATTAATTTTTTTATTGCAGAGATTAAGGGATGAAACGGGGGTTGATGGATGGGGAATTTAATTCTCCATTGAACAGTCTTTGTTTCATCCCTTAATATTAATTAGACGGCGAATGAATCAACTGAAAAACAAAGTAAACATTGAGTACAAGGAGGACAAAAATGCCTCGTTCGGAGAGGGGTGACGTCACGATCTGGTAACATTGNCACGATACCCAAGAAGTCGGTGGTTATAGCTCCCTCTTTCTCACTGAAGTATATGATACATAGAGCCAAATATTTCTGGACCGATACATCAGTCGATTCATTAATAATANGTTCGGAGAGGGGTGACGTCACGATCTGGTAACATTGCTCCGAACCTGTCCCTGTGACAGCGGGACTGCTACTGCCGAGCTACTCACGCCAGAGTTGCCAGATACGGCGAACGGTAGAGAGCCTCTCTCCCCACTAGACCTAGCCTAAAACCGCCGCCCGTCGTTACTAACCCAAGTAGCCAAATCCGCCTAGGGAAAAGCGCAAATCGCTTGAAATACAGCCGCATTTTGAATATTCGAAAATATTAAAATGAGTCTCTACTATTTTCTGGTTTGAAAGTAAAAATTATCATTGCGCCTATAAGGGGAAAAAGCGGAATAAAAATGAATCGAGGTGTATTGATTATTATTCTCGTTTTTTAAAATGAAAAATAGAAACCAATATCACTTTAGTGCTACAAGTTATAACATATTATCACAAACAAATATTATAGCTATCNTGCTCTTAGGCCTACTTTGCAAAACTTACAATAAGCTTCTTGTCCTAATGAATTGGGGTCTGGATTCTTTGATATTCAAGCTGGGAAATGAGAAAAATCAACGTGAACNACCAATATCACTTTAGTGCTATAAGTTATAACATATTATCACAAACAAATATTATAGCTATCAATCTTTGGAAAAGAGTATTATACGCAATAAAATAATAAAAGTTCTGCTGTTCACAACTCGGCAGATGGGAGCGTACAGCTCTCAGCTTCGTCAGTACTGAAGAGTGTCAGGGTCTCTTCCAATACGTCAATCTCGTCAGCATTTTGCGAAGATCCAGGGGCATCGCTTTTGGGAATCTCGTACATTTTAGCGATAAATAATTGGAGCATCTTTTGAGTAGGCTCAAAGGAAGTACGACAGAGTTTTCTCACANAAAAGCGGCAACTGGTGACGAATTATTACACGAATTTGAATTTTTAATGACCAAGAAAATGTCATTTCGCTTGTAAATGACATAAGATATTTGTTTAAAAGTAAAAAAAAATCAAATCGAGAATACGCCTAAAATTGCATAACGTAAAAAAATTNTCTGCATTTTATTCCTACACTTGGTTTTGACGCAATTCATCACTGAGAAAACTCTCTCGACCACTGCATTGCTGACTGGCAGCGGAAACATTTTTAAAACTGTTCCAGCCAACTCCTTGACCACCTGTCGACGTATACGCATGAGACCAGAATTTGGATATATCATTCAAAATTTCCCTAGACAAATGGTCATTCCAAGGAATCAGATTGATATCTCTCAACTGATTATCGATTGCTGTGAGATCACTGTTNACCTCGCCTAAACGGCGGTAAACCGCCCAATCTGGCAACTCTGACTCACGCACCCGACTCACATTTACCGACAACACCCCACAATCCGGGCCACTACTCAGGTCTATCCTCTTTGCCGTCATCACANTCAACTGATTATCGATTGCTGTGAGATCACTGTCCTGGATGAATACCGGTGGTATATCGTTAATTGATGGTTTGGTGGCTGGAGACAAAACTTTCACCGATGCAAACTTTGAAACGTCTTTTAAGATTTTCAAATTGTTCGGCAAAGGTTCCCAAGCTGCTCACATAAAGTCAGAAGGTATTCTCTGCATCTTCGAGATACTTCTGTCATTTACGGCTGCACGATGAAATTCCACTCCCAGATCGACTTCGTCGATTGACTTCAGTGCTAGCGTATTATTCAGTGCTTCACTAATTACAGTGACACACTGAGTAGTTTGAGCTTTTTTAATGAATAAAGGTTTAATAAAACGAGTAGCCACTGAGAGAATGAGGGTCCATAAACTATCGAAAAGTTTNGTTACCCCTCTTCCCTTTACTCCGGGCCAAGATTGCGCGCGCAACTTTTGATCTAGTGGGGGTGTATGGACCCCACCCTTAGATTTTTAGTTTAAGATAGAGTCAGTCCCATCGTGGCTGTTGTTCCGACAACTTTTCCAGCTTCTCTCTTCGATTAGTTTTTCTTAAAGTTTTCCATAAAAGTTTTATCAAGTGTATTTGTCTACCAAAGATTTCAAGTTTAAATTAGAAGTTTGAAATAAATAGTGTTAATGTGCTCTCCTAAGCACTAGTGTTTTTGATTTATTCTGGAATAAACCTTCAACCCATTTATTCAAAAAATGAACGAGTCAACATCGATGGAGTCCTCATCAGAGGTTTAGCGGCTAACGGATCCACATTTCGAAGTTTGGCGCTCGTTATTTCAAAAAGGCGCCACTGTTCTCCTAGTAACATTGATAGGACATAACAGTCGTCTGTAGAGTTGTAAAAGTACAAACCAGGCCCCCCCCCCTACTTTAGTCAATCCTTTTTGACCTCAACCCAGCAGGGCCAATGTAAAGTGTTTAACAGCAAAATTCGTAGCGGTGGCGTATGGACTACGATGGAGCGTACGGAACTGTTGGTATGGTAGGGCCCGAGTATAAATTTGTTGATAACCGGAAAGAGGTTCTCAATACCCCAGATAGCCAAGCGTGCGGTACACTAAAGACGCACTGGCTGCTGATTAAGTGCATCGTGCTCCTGCCGACAGCAGGATTCCACTGTGCTGCCACAAACTGCTGCGGCATAAAGTACCAGTACTGGTACAGCACTCTGATTGCGTGCCCAAACTCTCTGTAAAGTCACAGGGACTTCAGACTGCACTGTCCAATCGCGATTCTTAGATAAACTTCAATTAAATCATGTAGAAACGGTTTTTAGTAGTAAAAATCATTCCCTCAACGATTCCCCCTCTATGCAATTAGTATTTTTGCTCCATACGGCGTGGATATGTTGTTTAAAAACATAAAAATGAGATATATGTTCTCTGTTAAAGGGAGCATGGCCATTACATTTTGCGTATCAGCTCTTGACACGACAATTTGGACTCCACGATTATACATCAAGTTTCTGTTTTTCCCGGAAGATATATACGATTATCACCTTCAAAAACTCTGCTTGGGAACTATTTTTCTCCCTAAAATTGATAAGGTAAATCTGTCGCCTTCATTTTTAGTAAATTTGATGAATTATGTAAGTCATTGGACGAAAAGAGGTTATGTGATGATGATTTTGTTGATGATTTTCTACAGAATGCTTATTTCATTAACAAGGGCCCAACAATCCAATATTCTTGAAGATTACACACAAAATTGCGAATGATATTTCACAATGTCAAAGATTGTATCCCAAAGTGTGTTCCATTTCACTGGACTCTAGTGAACTTAGACAAGTGAAATTATTTCTCGTCTTTTAGGATTTTTCTGTGGATAAATTTCATTAACATTATTTAAACAAATTAATTTTAGCTGTTTTCAAAATGAAAAATCTAGAATTATAATTTTTCATTGTTTGGTTGCAGAATTCAGAAGTTAGTAAATGTAAATCATGTATCATCGTAGATTTAAATTTATAAGGAAAAAGGATAGTGAAGTTTCTCATCGTCTTCTTCGGAGGCAAGCGGAGAATAGACGTGACCTTAAACGAAAATTATTGCGTGTGAAGTGTTCCGCTGAACCTCCTATGGTTGAAAATAATTCCAATGCTTATGATAAGGAAATCTCTGACGAAACCCCAGCCAAAGCGGCTGTTCTTATAGCTGAAGAGCCAGTACACGATCTCGGGGGAGAGTTTGAATTGCCCGAATCAACGGGATTGGAATCTCAATGTCTTCAAACAATTCCTACTCCCCCTTCCGTGAATATATCGGAGGATATCAATCCACATAAAACCGTGGAAGACTATGCAAATAGATTCGGTGGGATTGTAACTGGCATGAATGTGCC